AATGTTAATTGTTTGGTTTGGTTCTGTAGTAATTTCGATTTCGGTGGCCTTCGGGCCAGATTCTTCCTTATTTTTTTTTTTATTTTCTTCCAATTTTTAATTTTCCTTACTGCGCCACGGGGTAAATTTTATTTTTTCATGTGTAATAATTAAAAAATTTTATTTTTCATTGTTTCAATTTCAAAAAATTCATTTAAAACTTCTTGCATTTGACCATCAACATTCTCTATTAATTCCAGTTGTTGCTCTTGAAGTTCAGAACAATGACCATTTTTATTTCATTGTCTGCTTGCCACTTGTTGTTTATGATTACTAAAATGAGGCATTTTATATAAAAATTAAGCTAGTACAATTGTAAGAATTACTTTTCAAAGTTAAAACAAAAACACATTTCCTACAAACAGGTACTTTGATTATTGTAAAAATATAAGCTATCTTTATTTCTTAGAAAGATAGCCCTTTTTATATTAAAAATACTTGAATTTTATTGAGTAATTTTGTTACATTGCATAAGAAAATTAAAACATGTCACATGATTGTTGAGTTAAGAGTTGGCACATCATATTTATTCTTTTTTTTTTACTGTTAATTTTCTTGAACACGTTCTTCAAACATACTCTGCTAACTATTTATGATATAATCTTTAAAGTATAATTAAAGGCATGTTTGAGACTAAAGTTTCTGGTCGAAATTACTTCTCTTAGTAACTGAAATTGCCAAAACACTTTGGGCAAAAATTAATTTTTATAGGCCCAAACTATTTTTTATTAATAGCTGAAATTGGGCAAAATTATTTTTAAATTATTTAAATTAAAATAGTTTGATTTATATAATTTTTTCATGTTCATTCTTATAAAAATTATTGAGAAGCCCAAACCATTGTCAAAGCTACTTTTTTTTCAAGCAAATATTAAAAATATTAAATTAAATTTGTGCTTAAACTCAGTATAATTATGCTTGAACAAAGCAAATTAACATCACAGGTTGAGATCTGACTTGGGTATTTATTTATTACAATTACAATTTTTTTGTTTTTGTTATTAGTCATTTTGTATCTTTAAAAGGTAATCTTTTCTGATAAAAATTTCAATTATGACATAGGAGCCACCATGCAATGAATATTTTTGATGGAATGAAATCCAAAAAAAATTTATTCAATGTGGTATGTATATATAATTAAACATATCAAATATATCAGATATTATTTATAAAAAAAACCTAGCAATAATTCAAGAAAATCTATATAGAAAACTTAGAGTGATGATGAGCCAAATATGAAAGAAATAAAAAGACAAATATTATTGAAGTCTCAAGCATTGAAGATAATATTGATTCAAGTCAAATGAAAATTTTAAGTGGTCAAACAAATGATGATGATGATGGTTCTCTGACATCCAATAGTTATTCTCCAAGTATACCTTCACTGGCTTCTCGATGCAAATCAATATTAAACAATAAATCAGCAGAATTTCAATCAAATCAAACTTTTTTAAAATTTCCATGAAATTGGTTCAAGTATGATAAAAAAATTTTCATGCTTGCACTAAATAATAGTTTATATATTAAATACCACAGAATTTATACTCTTTAAACAATATTATAAGCAAGCTAATACTATAAAGCATCAACTAAGCAAAGGAAAAAAATTTATTTTGTTTGCACAATAAACAATGATTTATTTTCTAATTAAAATCAAATAATATAATATTATATTTAAATAATAAATATAAAAATTTGTGTTTTTATCAAATCACTAATTTCTCATAATCTTTAAATTTTATTCTAAAAGGTTTGGGTCCTGACCAATTCTTTATTAGATTATCAAAAGAATTGATATTAATAATAGAAAACATACAAGTAAATCTTAATGACTTTAATTTTTTTTGGTAGTGTTTGATTTAGCACTGAAAGTATTTTATCACCATCAAATATATCCTCATTAGTATTTCTAAGTATAATACTTTCTAATTTAATACAATTGTTGAATACTTTTGTTAACTCCTGGTTTACTTCATCATTATAAAATATTGATAAATTTACTAGATTTTTACACTGTTTTGCAATTGATTGAAATAGTTTTCCCAAAAATTCACTATTACTCTCACCACTGCTAACATTCAGATATTTAAGAGTTTTTCCATGATGTTAATAAATTCAGACAAATCTGGTAGAGATAGTTGTTTGTATTGATATACTTCCACAGACTCAATATTTGGAAGTGAAATATTTTTCAACAATTTTGTTTCATCAGCAGAATAAAAATTAAGTGACAAGGTCTTTAGATTTTTATATGCTGGTAATAATATATGATTTATATTGTTTAATCCACCATCACTTGAATAATAAATTATTGATTGTGAATGTGTGAGAATTGCTTTTTTAAAATTATCTGATAAAATTTGACAAGAGTGGTAATCAATGGCTAATTGCTTTATTTTATTTTGTGCTTTAATTAAGTGAGCCAGACTATCTTGAAGTTTATTGTCACACATATTAAACACTTCTAATGATTGAATACATTTGCAAATATTTGCTAATTTATCAATAAATTCATTACTAACAGAATTACTACAAACTAATTTGTTAAGATTCTGAAAACAATTATCAAATCTATGATGATTATTTAACTGATAAAAATTTATATTAAGAGCATTAAACTCTCTAATAACTGCTGAATGATCTAAAAATAAAATTTGTTAACCCAATCTGTAAAATAATTAATCTGAAAGAATTTGTCAGCAATGATTGAAAACAATAATAATGAGTGAAATAAAATCCAGTACAAAATCTAGCATAATTATATAATGGTGATTTATCCAATAAAAGTTAATTTAATGCTATTCCTTGTTAAGAAATCTTTATCTTCTTTCAATAAACAATTAATTATTATTTTGACACTACCATTAGAATAAAGTGGATTTTTCCATAAAATTGGAAGGTTAATATTATGCCATTGTTTATTGACAAGTATGCAAGAATATAATGTTTTATAATCATCATCATTGTATTTAAATACTTCACCTAAAGCTCAAGTGCTAAAATCATTGTTGATTTTTTCTTTGCAAGAAAAAAAAATTAATTTTATTTGTTGCACAATTAAATTATTTTCTCAACCAATTAAAATCAAATGATATATTAGATGATAATTGACCATTATTTAGAACTGCTGTGCGTGAAAATGAAATCTATGTGAATTTGCAATTCACATATGTGAAATTCAAATTAGCCAACAGAATTTCATATCCAAATACCCCACCACCCCAAAACTTCAATTATAAATTTCAATTTCACATAGTTTCATAACTATAAAAAAAACTGACATTGAATCATGTGATGAATATTTGGCTTTTTAATGATTAACATTACCATTTAAAATAAATAATAAATCAGAGTTTTACAGGAATGAATTGATTTCTTAAGAAATAAGAATAGGACAAGGATAATGATAATGATAATGACACAACAATAGCAAGAACTATGATAATGGAATTAACATTAGGATAAAATAATTTGTTGGGAACAAATTTTTTACTTTTGTTGGGTGTTTGATTTAAAACAAGGATCAAAAATTCTGATGAAATTGGTTCCTTTGATTCCTTGCAGATCAAATCAAATTGAATAACATTATTGAAACTTTCTTTATGATTCAATTTTATCTCACAATTATTATTATTATAATTTGTAGTATTTGGCATCAGAAAAATTTTTTTTTTTGATACATGTATTATATGTATATTATACATGTATTATTTTACATTACAGGTGATCCACATATAATATACATATAATACACATGTCCATAAATTACACGCAAATTATACATATATTATATGCAGATCACCTGTAATTTAAAATAATACATGTATAATATACATATAATATGTGTATCAAAAAACACATTTTCCTGATGCCTTATAGATGATAAAAATGTTAAAACAATATATATAAATGTTGAATATAAAAATACTAATAAAATAATAAATAAATAATACTAAGAGGCATGGTGATAGGTCACTTCAATGAAGTAAATAACAAGATGGTTTGCTTTAATTTAAAATAGATAGCATATAATCATTAAAAAATTTTTTTTTGATAATAACAAGAGGTGTATGTTCACCATATAACATTTCCTTATAATAATAAAAAACTAATGTGAAAATTTCAATAATCAGATGAATGAAATTTTATTCATAGAATCATCTGGTATAGTTAATTCAATTTGTTTGGAATCTGGCATAGTTAATTCAATTTGTTTAGATTCTATAGTATTGGTTTATAATTTAAAATATATAATTTAAATGTCATAAATAATAAATAATTAAGATTAAATATAACAATAAATTAGATAACTACCATTATTATTACTAATTATTGTAACTTTGTTGGAGTTTACAGGTCGAGGAAGACTTGCAAAATTCAATGATCGACTTGTATAAACAGCATTTGGATGAACAGTTGTCATAATTGTTGAAGGATTAAAGAGTTTTTTATCTGCTTCCTCAAAAATTTCTCTTATTTCTTCTAATTCATCAAGCTGTTCTTCAGAATAACTAGAATAATTAGATTTAAAATGATCAATTGCATCCTTCCAAAAAGTAATAATTTTTAAAATTTCATCAGCTGTTGGTCTTTTTTTCAGGATCAGCATCTGTGCATTTGTATGCTAACCTAATATAACATTCTGGAGTATTATCTGAAAAACTAGGCCTTAAGCCATCACAGATCTTGAAGGCAATATCTATATCATGTGGTTGATCTTTGAATGGCTGTTGATGTGTTGATGTTTCTGACATTAAAATCCCAAAGCTATAGATGTCAGATTTTTGTGTATAAGGTTTCTTATTTAATACCTCTGGTGCAATATATGGCAGTACTCCAACTATATCATTTTTACTTGATGTTTCTTGATCAGCTGGGCCTGATAACCCTAAATCTGCAATCATTGTCTCAGATAAATATTGAAAATATAAAATATTACCACTGTGAAAATCACTATGTATAAGTTTTTCTTGATGAAGTGTGTTTAAACCTGAGATAATATTATAAAGTTTTTTAATTTTATCATTCCATCCTTTATAATTTGATTTTAAATATTCTTTAAAATCTCCTTCAACTGCATATCTCATTACAAGAATATATTCTTTTGTATTTGGATCTTGTGAAATACCATAAATATTAACAACACCCTTGTGATAAGGTCCTATAAATTTAATGTGGTTTTGAAGCTTTATGAAAATCAATAAAAAATTAATATATTATTTAAAAACCATTAATTAATTGTCAATTAATTATATCAAATTATTTACCTCTTTTAAAAACTCATCAGAAATATTTTGAGAGTTTTTAATCTTTTTTAATGCTACAATACCATTACTACGATAATATCTTGTATTATTATGAATATATCTAGGACCATTTGACCAATAACACTTGTACACAGTTGCAAAACCACCTTCACCTATTCCTTCTATAACTTCAAGTTGGTTATAAGGAATCCATTCAAGGTAATGAAAACTATCAAATCCTTTTGCTTCAAGCTGTGTTTTTCTGATTATTTCATCTAATTTGTCATTACTACCGCCAGTCCAACTTTGAGCTAACAATTTGGGATCACATGATTGACACCACTGGTAATTAGTATTATATCTTGCACAAACAGAACAGGTTCCATATTCTTCTTTTCTTTCTTTAAACCCCTTAGTGTTATCTTATTATTCATTATAAAAAATAAAAAATAGAATAGAATTATTTTTCAACATAATAAAAATAGACATTCATTTAAAGTTATAAAAAAGATAAATTTATAAAATATTTTACCTTTAATTGTTATTATAAATGCAAAAAATAAATTTATTTAATTAGATAATGTGTTGTGAAAGTTATTTTATAATATAATATAATATTTACCAGCTGGTTATTATGAATAAATAAAGAATATTTAATTAGATGATGCTATAAAAATTTATTTTGTGTTGTAAAAATTACTTACATGCTGGTTATTATGTTATTATAAAGAAAAATAAATTTATTAATTGATATTTTAATAAAAATTATTTTGTGTAAAAGTTAATTTTACAATATGATACTTACTCCCTGGTTATTATAAAAAAGATTTATTAGATGATGTTTTAATAAAATTTATTTTTGTGTTAATTTATAATACACTACTTACCAGCTGGTTATTATAAATAAATAAAAATAAACTTATTAATTAAATATAAAAATTACAAAAATTGATTTATAATACAATATAATTAATACTTACCAGCTGGTTATTATAAAGAAATAAAAGTTAATTTTATTTAGTTGTTATAAAAATTAATTTATAATAATACTTACAATCTGGTTATAAAGAAATAAAAAATAAATTTACTTATTAGATGATGTTTATTTTGTGTTGTAAAAGTCAAATCATAATATAATACTTACACTCTATGAAATAAAAAAACAAATTATTTAATTAGATGATGTTTATTTTGTGTTTGTAAAAATTAAATTATAACA